TTTAATTTACTTTTTAGCCTTTAGAGGCCAAAGAAGTAAGGGCTAAAAAGTCTTGTAATGGTTTGATCTTCTAAAAAATTACTCACAATAAAAAGGTCGCGGGGTTAGAATGCCCCGACACTTGCACGGAGGGTGACTCCCCTCGCCAGCGCTGCTTTGGACGGGACGGACATTATTTCCTTCCCACACACGCTTGCCTCGGGCTCCTCCCAAGCCCTTGGCATGAGGCGATAAGAGGTCAGCCATGTGTGTGTGTGGTTGTTGTTGTTGTTGTTGTTGTCGTTGCCACTTGAAATCGTGTCCGTTGCTAATCCCAAAATCTAGCAAAGGCAAACTCGGTCCGTGGTCACAAAAATGCTAGATAGAGCAATCAGAAGATCTAAAGAACACGCACACCAGCAGTGTGGCGGTCAATGGCGAAGTAATAAGTGGTGAACGTCGACGGAGAGAGGCGGAGAAGCTGATCGATGATGTCCTCGAGTCTGCCCTCTCCCGCTTCTTCCAAAGCCGTCCGTCCCGGGTACATTCACGATGTACCGCACGCACCGCAACGCCCATCCATGTAAGCGCTGAATGGTGCCGTCGTCGTTTACTTCGCTGGGGCCTTTACAAGCGAAAGATATCAAACCATTGATCTAGAGTCAGGGCTGGTTTGATTTTAAAAAGCAAGTTATAATAGTCGCGGGGTTCGAATGACCCGACACTTTCACCTCCGAGGAGGGTGACTCCCTTTCGCCAGCGCTTTCATCCACCCAACCAATCAATGTATCGGTATTTCGCTTCGTTCATCACTCGTGTTGGAACTGCTGTCACGGTAGCATGAACGGGCGCTAATACTGAGGATCATTCCATTTCACGATGGTTTGAGGAGGGCTAGGGTATACCCCAGGGTGTACCTGAATCATTGGCGGAGCCCTTCTGGAGCTCCGCCTCAACACGTGTTTTGGGTGATCGCTCACTGTTAACACGGCCAATCTCGGAAGAGGAACTTTGACCCACATCGCTAAGCAGCAAACCAGTTGTGAGTCAATGCAGGAGGTAGACCCCCCTTGCTAGTCCCTCCTTGATTAGTCCCCCCTTGTTAGTCCCCCCCTTGACTCAAATGGTAAGAGTCCATGAACCTGACCATGAAATGGATGAAACTGACCATGAAATGGAAGAAACTAATTGAACCCTAGCCAGTGCTTGTTACGCTAACACATGAGTGAGCTACCTTAAGCAATAGCGCTATAACCGCTGTGACATGGTGGAGGAGTGTAGGGCACCTCTGTATACTTTGGTGAATAGACGGGTGGTTCAGGGCGCTGGAGGAATAGCGTCCGCATGGGCATGGGAGTATAGAGGAAAGTATCAGGATGGCACTACTTCTCCGTGGATCACCGAAGACACTGCCAGGGACAGTTTCTCGCCTCTGCAACATGATGTTTTTCATGCCCTGTGGGAAGACTTTCACGGGGTGAATATCGCACCACGACCCCCGGGACCGCGGTCGCGAGGAGAATGCGAAGGAGCAACGCGGACCGAAGCTCTCGCGGAATTTCCCTGTGGAACCATGGTTGGACGGGAGCTCATGGATCAAGAGAACAACATTGTGCTCAGCAGAGGGAAAGTCTGCGATTTCTATGATCCGTATTGGGGAGTGGACTTCAGCGACGGAGATTGGGAAGAGCTCAATCGCAGGGAACTAAGGCGTGGAATGGATCTTGCCACCAGACTCCCACCGCTGACCGCTCAAGAATCGTGAAGTCGTACACTGCCTGCCATCTTCCGTCCTCCATGCGGGAAGCTGGGGGGGGTGTGACGGCAGTGTCACGAATGAGGAGTTCCAAGATCGTCTTCTACAGCCGAAGATCGTCCTCAACAGTCGGTGATCGTCGGTCAAGATGCAAGATCGTCGTCATAGTCGTCGGTCTGTGGAGACTGTTGGTAGAAGAACGTCTTCAACAGTGGTGGAAGATCACCTTCTTCAGTGGACGATCGCCTTCTTCAGTTCAAGATCGTCATCGTCAAGGAGTCCGGTATACGGCGGCCAAAGTACTAACGGCCGTCATTCGGGGCCGATGATTTCAGCAATGTAACATCGACGTCGAACACACCGGCATCCGTCCTCTCGAGGTTAAAATCCATTTTTTGTGGTTTAACCTGGGGAGGGCGGCATCCTCCCTTTTCAGATCTAAATTCCCGGCGTGGTTTGATCTGAGGAGGGAGAAGCGCACGTTCTGCTACCTCCTGAGCATTTTGTGTTTTTCAACACATGTATGCTGGGGGGGTGTCACGGTAGCATGAACGGGCGCTAATACTGAGAATCATTCCATTTCACGATGGTTTGAGGAGGGCTAGGGTGTACCCCAGGGTGTACCTGAATCATTGGCGGAGCCCTTCTGGAGCTCCGCCTCAACACGTGTTTTGGGTGATCGCTCACTGTTAACACGGCCAATCTCGGAAGAGGAACTTTGACCCACATCGCTAAGCAGCAAACCAGTTGTGAGTCAATGCAGGAGGTAGACCCCCCTTGCTAGTCCCTCCTTGATTAGTCCCCCCTTGTTAGTCCCCCCCTTGACTCAAATGGTAAGAGTCCATGAACCTGACCATGAAATGGATGAAACTGACCGTAAAATGGAAGAAACTAATTGAACCCTAGCCTGTGCTTGTTACGCTAACACATGAGTGAGCTACCTTAAGCAATAGCGCTATAACCGCTGTGACACTGCATCACAGCATTGATAGATTATTGCATATTATGAATATTGTGTGATACCCTGGCATGGTGGCTTAGAGGCTCTGTGTCGTCGACGTTAGTCGAGGTGATGACGCGTGCGAGAGGGTAGCCTGGAAGACGAGAATCCTTCCACGGTATGAAGAAGATGCTGAGATATTGGAACACTGGCGCTTAGTTAGGTGGCCAACACAATCCGGAAGGATCACACGAGAGGTGAGCTACTCGACGACCACGCAGAGAATTCTGCGGGAGTAATAATTCCTCCTCATACACATACGCGTTACATTCGATCCGACATTCGAACCGACCCATATGAGATCTACGATATACAAGGGCAGTGCTACTGAACATTGACCTATACCGGCTATGTGCTAACATTCCCACAACACTCCCCCTCAATGAAAGTTGCTCTGAAATGTACGAAACAAATATTGATTCAATCAACCAATGTTATTCATTCGTTTCTTGCGTATAAACTCAAGCCGTTTCTTGCGTTTCAACCACAAATTAATAATACACCAAGTGATATTTCATGTTTTACACGTGCTACAATACATCCATGCGCTTGTAAAAAGCGCCTGCTGTTGTTTCCTGCGTAAACCAAAGTACCACAACTTTCAATCCTACATGGATGGCTCGTTCAACTAGTATCGGCGATGAAGCCTAGAATGTACAGAACGCCAGCCGTCGTGTAAGTGCATTTGTTGAACGAACAGAGAACGACGCTCCCCACCACAATCCCGATGGCACTCCCGATGTATTGGACTGCCACGTACAGGGGCATGGGGGAGTAAGACGGAGGTACGTTGAGCAACTGTTTCGGCTGTGAGCCCAATCAATCATAATGTGTACGTTGTCGCATGAAGCACTGAACAGTGTACACAAAAACAACAGTACGAGCTTGTAGCACCTCAAAATTGTCCTCACAGCATCACAACTCTCTGCCTCCGACAACTAACTCCAAGAACACACCAAATCCGTACACGCCGTTCTACTGGGCCAGTTGGCTGGGATTGAACTTGAATTGATACGCTTGTGGGCCGAAGGGAGCCTGTAGCGTGGTGCGAAAACGTCTGTCGTAACAAACAACAAACCGAGACAGGCTTGGCACACCCGGGTACATCAACTGAAAAGGGGTTTCCAAACTCATAGTACCACGAGTAGAGAGCGATGATGTGGATGGTGATGATGGCGATAGATCCTTCGCGTCTGCCGGTGAGTGGAATGAAAGTGGGATGACGCATTGGCGAGGGGACCAGGGCTTGCTAACGCCGAGCACCCATACTGAGCGATGGCCATCGGGGGTGCATGTGTAGACAATCCAGCACACCCAGAGGAATCAAACAACTTCGGAGGGTATCTAGACTCTACATGCATGGTTGTCTACTGCTGTACTGCTGTACAAGATACACATAGACTACATGCGGAAGCGTCGGAGTGTATGCACATACAGCAGTAGGAATAGGAAACTCTTTCGTTCAAAGATTCAGATCAATCAAGGCATCGCCGTCCTCTTCTGCACTCGTGGTACACACTACATTAGTTTGTCCTCATATTCTTCACAGCGCTCGAAGCGTTGGACGGAACGCTGCAGCAGCCCCCTCGTTGTTGGACAACTGCCTCGGGAACAATGACGCTGGTTGGTTGCTGCTGGTGCTCTACCACCATGGTTGCAAGACAAGTACTCCAGAGTACATGTATTGAGTTACAAGGGTGGCGAAGCGACAACGTTGTGGGGTAGAGATTGGCGGTGGGGAGCAGTGACAGTGGTG